GCTCGCTGGAGACCTCCCCACGCCCGTGCACGGTCCCCGGTGCTGGTGTCCAGCCCGACCCCTGGGGCCGGCGAGGCTCTGGGGGGACACTCAAGCACGGCCGGGTCCTCCCCAGGCACTGTCCCCTTGCCCCTTACCCGCGGCTGATGACCACAGCTCTTCAGCTTTTGGAAAATATGGTTGATAGCTATAAAATATATTTACAAGTTGTGCTATATATATTAGTCAATATCCCTATTTGTTACATACCCAGAAAACACAAACAGCATCAATTTGTTCTCCAACTAAAGAAAAGAATTTAAAATATTTGTTTTCTATATTTGCAATAATGTGGATTTTAAACGCATTACTTAACCCTTGCAGAAATCTCTAGTTGCAGTGTATCAGCAGTAAGTTTCTGGCCAGACTCCCCTGTGCAGCACACGCAGCCACCTGCTGCGGCGGCTGGAGGGGCTGGAGAGGAGATACAGCCCTTAGCTGGGCGCGTCTCCACGGGCAGCTGGGGGTCGGGAATTTCATATTTGGGAGACTCCTGTGAAAACTGCAGATGAGGAAGCCACTCAGCTCTACTCAAATACTTAGTAATGGTTTTTTTTGTACGGTCAGAACTAACCTGCGAACCGGAGCCTTGGGGGGCGGCCGAGGCAGTGCCAGGGCCGGGCACGCCGGCCGTGGCAGCCGGGGGCTGAGCTCCGGCATCCAGCCCTGGCCAGAGCCGGTGGCCAGCAGTATTGCAGCGGCCCTTCCGCTGCGCTGGGAGAACACGCGCTCCGCTGCTAAGCTCACGGCCAAACCTTCCCTACTGTTTGAAAATCATAATTAAACAACCAAGCAGGGAATAGAAAGATCCACCTGGTTCACCTGCTCTGGACTGCATGGGCTGTGAAGTGCAATGGAAGCGAATCATTGAAACGGCTCTGAGAGACAGCAGAATAATAACAACGCGCCAGCCTGTCACGAACCGGGCTGCTCACCAGCAATATTTCTTACTACAGATCACCAGGTCACAGAGGGGAGATCAGCTGCGGCGGTAATCCATGGCATTTAAAAAGGAAGGGTTTCAGAGCAGTGGGGAACCTAGTCAAGCCGTAAATGAGGAGCTAGTGCAGAAAACGCGGGCTGACACCCCGTCCGTCGCTCGGCTGCTCCTGGGGGAAAGGCAGCCCAAGGGCGAGACGTCAGCCCTGACGAGGAACCCTGGCTCCTCTGGGTTGAAGGCAGCCGCTCAGTCTTAGTGAAACACCCTTCTCTCTCCTAGATGACCTTTTCACAGCAGTTTTTAGGAAACATAGCTACAATTAACACTCTCATAAATCTGTTAAATCGTAAATTTACAGCTTTTAGGATTCTAGAGTCACTCGCTTGGTACAATTAGCGTAGGTTGAAAAGGTTGTTCTGATTTGAGGATGTGTGAATATTTCACAGTCCTCTTACCTTCCTGACCATCACAGCATTGCTAACGCAGGCTGCTGTCTCCTTGACAGCCGTTCCGACATTCATTTCATCAATTTGTCGTATCCCTAGGGTATGTTCTTGTTTATAACAAGAAGGAAACCGGCCATTGGGGCAATCTGTCTTTAGAAGAAGATGTTGACACTACAAAATTTCCTACGTCTGCCTTTACAGATCTGCGTAAGGCCGTTACAAGTCTGAGTTTCTCGGACACGTTCTCCTTTCCCAGGGGAGGTTTATCTGGGATTTCTAACGACCCAGGCGTGCAGGCACATCCGCCGTGCGTATCAGCCCCTCTGCATCCACGCGCTGAAGACCGCAGATGGGAGGTGCGAGGAGACATCCTGCTCCCCTGGAGTCAGCAGAAAAATTCCCTTTGGTTTTAGCGGAGTACGGTAACACCCAAACCCTAACAGCAGCAGAGTTTCATGGAGGAAGCAGAGCACCATCCCACCTACGTGTGGCCACCCTCACATTACCCTCTCCAGCGCAGTCAGTCTGGAGCCGTCCTGCGTCCGACCCACCCCCCCGCCAGCCTGTCCCCTCTCTGCCATGAGCCCAGCACCATGAGCCCAGCACCCCGACCCCAGCTCTGCAGGCAGCGGGGCAGCTGGGCGGGCAGACACACGATGCTGCTGTGTCTGTACAAAACCAGACTGAAATCAGAAAACCACAAGTTTAAACCTCAGCAACACAGCATCCTGACAGCTAATAACGCTAAACAGTAAGTCAAATATTCATTATTCTCACCTAATTATCTAACCAAAATCTTTGGAATTGTGACTCTTCCCAAAACGTCTCAAAACCAAATCTTCACAATACATTCTTATGCTGCTAAATATGCGTATTCTAATCGCATCGGAAGGGACACGTTATGTCCAGGACATGACGCTGTCAAACAGTTGTACCACTTTTCCAGGCCTATTATGTGAAATCTCTATGCACAAAGAGCACGAATTCACAAAAAGTTGTGCCTAACAGCACTGTGAACTAGTCATAAAAAATTACGTTTAAACTAGCTAATTTCCATTTACGCCTAAAATTTGATTCCCCAGATAAATATTTAAGTGTTTGGTTGTGCATCTTCCCTCTCTCTCAGAAGTGAAAGGATGCGGTCCCTGACAGGAACCAAGAAAAGGTTCCTGCTAATTTATGCTAGAGTATGCTCACAAATATGTATTTGTTCTTCCTTTGCTATTATGCACCAGTATAACAACTTCCCCAAAGGATTTGACTACTGCAAGCCTTGCAAATTAATGCTATGCATATATAAATATATCTGTATGTATGTGTAGGTGGGGGTGTACAAAAACATATTAATTTACAAATACAATGTGTTTTTTTAGAAAAAAGTTCACTTTATAATAGATTTTCCAGCTAATTAATTCTTCAGGCTAATGCTGAGTTTGGTACATTATACAAATCGGTGTTCTTGTTATTTACAAGAACTTAGCAGGAATAAAACTAAGGGCAAGAACACTTCAGAAATAATGACAACTGAAGCTGCTGTGCCCGCGAGGAGTTTGGAAAATGAATGATTAAATGAATGATTATCTTTAAAAGCAGCTCCGTGGACCAGGCTTTTACAATGCAAACCTCAGCTCTGTACCGAGTTCGCTGAACGCGTATTTCCGTAATAATTACTGATTTGTTGGTTTTTCCGAAGAAGAACCCTACATGGCTGAGATGATCCAGATGTGAAACCAGCAGGCAGTGGAGCGTGTCCGGCCGTGAGGCACGCCAGGAGACGGTCTGTTCAGGTAGAGATGGCTCTGTGGGATTTGGTCCGAACTCCAGGCTCTGCCGGGAGCGTGTCTGCAATTCCCTTTCTGAGAGCAAGATACGGGATGGCAGCTCCCGAGGTTCCGAGGGGGAAGCAGACACGACACAGGGTTGCTGCTGCTGGGCCCGGATTTACAGGACGTTTACACTCCGAGAAAGCTCCTCCCCACTGCTCCCAGATGTAAGAACACCCGTACTCATTATGCTGTATATCAGATACCCCTCCCACAAAATGGGAACCTGGGCTTCTTGATCGTACAGAGGATAACGTAACGAATTGTCCCAGGTCCTAACCTGCCCAGGACGCTGCCGCTACAAAACAGATGTTCTACTCGGCAGGAAAATCTCAGCAGCTCTGCTTCCAGTTGTTCTCCTGTGGGAGTCAGCAAACAGCAAACAGCAGCCTCTCCATAAACTGAGACCTCTCCACGGCCGAAGAGCTTTCCCAGATGCGCCCGGGATCTGCGCTGTGCCGGAGCTGCGCTTACGCACCAGCGACAGCGTTATTCCTGCCCGAGGACCTCCATCTCACCTCATCTGTAAATTCAGACTGACACTGTCATTTCTCTGCATTTCAGTTTGCAACAACCCCTGAAGCATCAAAGCAGAAATACTGTGCAACGAGACACCCTACGCTTTTACACAAATTGACGATTATTAATCTGCCGGAAACCACGTTATTATTACTGAGCCGAATTCTGCTCTTTACAGAGTTCAAGAAAGTTACACAAGATTCAGGTCGCAGTAAAAAGGAGCAGCTTTGACTCCCTTCCTCTGTATCTTCCCCTGAACGCCGTTTGCTCAGGGGCAGTCTTCCCGACGGCTTGGATTTCCCCGACGCAGTTCTCTTCAAACAAAGGTGGTTTGGGTCATCCTGCACAGCAAAGTCTTGCCAATTAGTATTCTAATAACATAGCTCATTAGCCTTATCTCCGTACCCCTGTGAAGAAAGCCATTTACAACCCCTATCAAAATTCATGAATATATCTATACAGAAGGCAGTGGCTAGAACATCACAGGAAAATGTCAGCTCCAGTAGCTCATCGTGTCCCCTGTGGATCGTTTCGGGAAAAATGTGCTGTTGCCCTTAAAAACACCCAACTAGGGCACCCCAGTAAAAAAGCAATTTGATTACAGGAGCAATTTAAACCAAATACAAACCAAAGAGGTTCACACGGAGGGATCCAGCACGGTCAGAGCAGAAGGTGACCCCGGCGGGGTGTGGGTGCTCGCTGGGGGAACTGCCACCCGCCCTGCTGCAGCGCGCGCTCGCACCCACTGCCCGCAGTTAAATAAAAAGATCAGACTCAGAAGATTTGAAATTGGTGTTTCTAGTTGCTGCCTACCATAGGAAACACACTGTATATTCTTAATTAAAAATGTTAAGGCCACTTCTAAAAAGAATTTGTACTGATGTGAGAAATAGCAGGGCTAGAGGATCTGCAAACAGATGGGTTGCTCTCTGAGCACACTGTCCCCGATGAGCCTGAAGCTGGTTTACTGCTGGTCAGCATCCCTGGCAGTTCTGGGGGGAGAAGCACGTGCTGCTCCACAGGCGCCAGTTAAACACGGCAGCCCTCTTCTAGACAGAGCTCTGCTCTCCATCCTTCTATCACTGAAAAAATGTAAATAATCTTCTTCTAATATTACTACTTTCAATGTTGTAATTAAGATTGTAATTACAGTACTATCTTTTATTACCAACAGGAAACCTTTACAGCCATGAATCACACTGGGTCACACCCGGATGCGATCCTTCTTCACAGAGGGAACATCTCTTTGTACGGGTGAGCACAGGAGCTGTTTCGGTCCCTCAGATTTTATCTGTGTCAGTCTTCAGTCCAGGTTAACATAAGGTAACCTGTATTTATCAGAAAGAATTTATTAACAACAGATGTTGTGCGGTCGTGATGGGCCTTTTCCGCCAGCGCACGCACTTACAGACTCCTGCAAGGACCAGTCTCCAAGCCCTCCATTTTGCAGATGTGTATACGCACACACACACAACGTGTATCCTATTTGGTAAAACTTTTTAGCTTGTAAAGGGAATAATTACATCAATACACTGGAAACCACAACCTTACAGCCCACTCTGTATTTGGATGGTTTTTCTCCCTCAAACAGCTGTTGCCAGCAAGAGCAGAGGGGTAACTGCCCGCGCTGTACAAGCCCCTGTAATTTCTGTACAAAGTGCTGCCCAAGCCGACCACGGAGAAATCTGCTCTGTGACCACCCCAGCACGGCAGAGCTGGCTGCAGGCAACAGCATCAGGCTGGAGCCTGCCCTTCGTGTTCATATTTCAGCCCCAAGCAGAGCCGGGGGTGAGCGAGACTTTGGGTCTGTTTGTCTGTCCGTTCCCTGAAGCAACGGCGATGTGGGAGAGGTAGGGAAGGACTGAAACTCCCTCTTCCAGGGGCACAGCTCCCTGGCGGGCTGGGGAAGGGGGACTCATCCCCACCGGCCTCCCACGCTGTTCAGGTCCTGGGGGTGCCACCCCCCCCTGCGGGCCCTGGCAGCCTTTGGGACCAGGGGGGTCCCCCGAGCGATGGGGGCATGGCCCGGCCAGCAGCCCGCTCCGCGGCGTGGCAGATGGGATGGGGCCGCAGACGGAGGGGTGCACACAGCTCGCGGGGGCGAGCAGAGCAGGACAGCAAGCTCACGGACAGCAAGAAAATCGGGGACAGGGAACATTACCTTCTGAAACCCAACAGCATCACGTCCTGAGCAATTCCAGCCCTGGGGACAGGTCTCCCTTGGATGACACGCAGGGTCGTAGGGGTTTGCACCTGAAGCCAGAAAGCCTTTTGGCCAGATAGGTGAAATGTGAATTTGATGCTGGGATGTAACTCCCAATGTTCGTTTCGGATTTGACTGAACATATGCTTAGACACGTACCGCTGAATTCCTGAAGCGCGTGCATTCAAGTACAGCCTTGTGCACCACGGACAGATTTTCCTTGTGCAAACCTGGACTTCAGCATGTTTCAGATGTTATTTCTTTTGCATAAACAAGTATCAAACAGAGTTATAATAAATGTTGGGCTTTTTAACCAAACTAAGAAAATGGGGGAAAAAAAAAAAAAATTTGGATGCTCAAGCCCCTTCTATAAATGTAAAAGCATCAAGAAAAATATCTTTTAGTTTAACTAACAACTTATTTATTTGGAAATATGCGAGCGCTACCTATCCCTGGGAGTCTCCAATCTCCAACGTGACTTAAACACACACTAAAAATCAACTCGGAGAACTGCCTAAAGCGGCTTCCTAAAACTGCTGACGACACAAACTGAGTCGTCAGCAGTTTTGGGCACAAACTGAGGCACAGGAAGTTCCGTCTGAACATGAGGAAGAACTTCTTCCCTCTGAGGGTGACGGAGCCCTGGAACAGGCTGCCCAGGGAGGTTGTGGAGTCTCCTTCTCTGGAGATATTCAAGACCCGCCTGGACAAGGTCCTGTCCTTGCGGGGGTTTTCGCGTTCCCCCTGCCGCAGCAGCCTCGGCTGGCAGTCCCCCGAGGGGCTTCTCCACTCAGGGAGCTGCGCAGACCCGCGGAGAGTCTGTAGGTCTGTCCATCCCCTGGGCGGGCACCGTGCGGGGTGGTTGCCTCAGCGAGCAGCACGGAAGGCAAATCATTTCTAAGACTCCCTGTATGCATCCCTCTGCGTGTAGACATCCTGTGACTGATTTAAAAAGCAGCAATCCCATCTAGAGAAACACCTTAAGATCTGGGAGATGTTCAAACGCAGATTTGATGGACATTCTGCTTAGAAAAACTATGGGGGGGGGAGAAGAAAACTGATGGGACAGAGTACAGAGAGACAATTCCTCCTCCAAAGCAGAAGCAAGTCCTGTGAGAAGTATTAGCTGGAAGAGGTGTAACGTTCACACGGGCTGGGACAGCCCCAGCAAAACCGAAAACAGAAACGGGCTCGAAGCACCTTCAGGAGCGCTCCGATGCGCCGGTCGCTTGGCCTGCTGGCTGAGCCGTCCTGAGCATTAGCCACAGGAGTGACTGGAAAACAACAGTTCCATGCCAGGTTGTTATTTTGTGGAGATCTGAGTATTAAGCCTCATTTGGGGGGAGAGAGAACGGAGTCCAGCAAGCACTGTTCTTTCTGGGCGTGACAAGCTCCCCAGGCTGTGGTAGCAGCGATTTCTCGTCAGCCATCTAGCCGGGTTCTGGTCCCCCGCCTAACAGCCCTGTATTCGTAAATATTCTTGAAAAAAGACAGCTTCAGGCAGTGCTAGGGCGACCACTGCTACCATCCCCATCAAGTTTACCAGCCAAGTAACTCATTACCAGAGTAAATTAGAAAAACAGTAAGCATGAATTAAAATACTTTTCTGAATACTATTTTTCAACCCAAAATGAAAATGATTTTCATCTATTGCATTTAAAATCTACATTTTTAAAGTAGCATGACTGCTTGCTGTCCATAGAAATTTGACAGTGCGCTTCATTACCTACTTAGTACTTTTTTGTTAAGAGTGACCACTGGTCTAAAGAAATAAAGTTAGCATTCATATTTATGTCATACTGAAATTCAATACCTAATTTACTACAGTAAAAGCGGGATAAATAAATAAAGTTTATGTAAAGACTTTGGTAATTTCAAAATTTTCTTTGCATTATCATCCAAAACATTTTAACTCGAGCAAGAAGGACCAACAGCCACACAAAGGAAGTTACACAGTATACATAATTGCACAATAAATTGTTTGCAGTTAGCCAGTCTTACCTGCCAGGAGCTCCGGTTTTGCTTCCTGCCTCGCGCTTCCAAGGGACGGGCAGCTCCCCCCGCACCCTGCGCCTCGGGGACCCTGGTGACACCGCAGCCGTGGGAAGCTCCGGACGGGAGCTTGTTCTTGCCCTTCCTCCACAGCCCCAGGTTTGTGTGCTCGGCTGCAGCTCCCGTTTGGCGACTCGCGCTGGTGGGATTTCGTCCAGATTTTCCCTCCTTTGCCTGTTTTTCTAGAGGATCCGTTTTTCCTTCCTGGCTCCTGTGCCAGCCTCCTGGGCTCGGCCCCGCGGCACTTGTGCCTCAAGGTGATAAACTCTCCTGTTCCCTTGTGCCACCTCCTCCAGCCCAGAGTGTGCCCATCAGGGAAAACGTGTTGTCATTCCCTCTTTTCCAGACTGAACTTTTTGTTGGGACAATGTTAAGTCTTTTGTCATCATTTAGGGGCAGCAAACTATAAATTATTGTGCCATTTTTCTCGTCATGCTGTTGGCCACGGTCTACTGAAAACATCCCCAAAAATTATAACTTGATTTCTTGCAGGGTTCAAACATAGCTTCACATTTTTCCCTAAAACTGGGCTTGTGGGGTATTCAGCCAACCATTGGACACACCCAGTGTTACGAAGAAATACCTTGGAACAAACCACTTCATTTTCATTCACATTTATCTCTTTGTGAGTTACTCCTCTGGAACCCTTCCTAAAATCTTCTTTCAAAACCGATTTTTGAATAACTGTGAATAACAAATATAAATGTGTGACATATAAAACAGGACACGGTCACTTCTACAGAGAAGCAATTTACTACCTGCTTAGCAGGGAACCAAAATATATCCAGTCTATCTGAATTAGTATACTGCTCCTTACGTAAAGCTGAGAGCTATTTCAAGCAGCAGAGCCAGGACTCCGGGAAGGAGCCAGTGGCTGTAGGAGAGGGAGGGGGTTTTTGGCTTTCCTCTTTGTCGACTTCGTGCTAGCTTTTCAAACTGCTCGCTCAGAGGTTTCAGTGGTGCCGCCGCCGCCTGTGCAGACATTTCCACATACCCTAGTTCAGCTTCAGTCTGAAAGGGTCGGAAAGATTGCATCTTCCATCGCCAGTAGCAAAATATGAGAGATACTTGGGGTTTTTGAAATGGCAATGTCTCTTTTTCTGTCTCGGTCATCAGTGCTGTCTTCCTGTTAATAACAGTAGAAGCAATTCTAGCTTCCTCAGCAGGCTGAAACAAGAAAAAGATATAAAAACATGGATCAAAAAACAGTGTATCTGGGCAAAAATAACATGCGTGAAATTTCTGTAAGGTTTATATTTATAACTATCTGCTGGAATTGTACAACTGATAGAAAAGGATTTGTGTTGTGTTCTGTTGACTTTGATGACTGACAGGGAAGGTGCCCCTCCGTGCCAGCTGTGACGCGGTAACTTCTGGAAGCACAAACAGATTGGCATTTCATCTCCTACTCACACGGGAAAAAAGGCAGGCCTGGGCAATACCTATTGCCCTAAGGCATGATGCTGGGAGAAACACACATTTATAAGTGACATTTCCCCCCCCTAAACCATTCTGGTTTTTTAGCCTCAAGACAGGACAAGCTAATGCGAGGGGTTTCACAGCTCCAGCTGTGAGCGTGTCAGACCGCCCAGCCGTGCCAGAAGGAGCAGTGGCTTTAGAGACCTCCATTTTCAGGTTATCTGGGGCACCCAGGAGACCCCCCCAACACTGCTGAAGCCTGAGCAGCAAGGGGAAGGCTCTGATGCTTTACAAGAAGAAGAGGGGAGACCAGAGGCGATCTGAGGGCTTACCTTTCGCATGTGGCCTGAAGGACTATGACCAAAGAATGAAAGCTAAAGAGAAAAATAAAAACAAAAATAAAAACTGAAAAGGGGAGGGAGGAGAGGAAAAAATGGAAGAGAAGAAAGAGAATAAGAGTTTACAGTGTGTTTAGCTGAGAAATAAGCTGTGGTTACAGACAGAGTGCAACAAAACTCTCATTTGAAAAGAAATATAAAGTATGAAGTAAGCTCCGAGGGCTCGGGCTCAGCTCAGCTCAGCCAGAGCCCAGCAACCCTTGGACTCAGGAGAGTCGCCTCCTGCCCCAGCGGAGCCCAGCTCAGTTGCAGCCAAGGGCTCAGGAAAAACGGGGAGGAAAAAAGAATAGCTGAATTCTTCTGATATTTCAAAAAAAATCCCCAGACCCAGAGTGCTAACGTTTGGGTTTAGTTTCAGGTGAAAGTCCAGTTCAGTCCCTGTTGTACCTGAACAAGCTCTCTCATCTATTTCTCTAGAAATAGATGGCTTCAGACAAGGGTAATTTTAGAGTAAAATTCAACAGTTATGGCTTGACAGGAGGAGGCTCGATGACATCAACGACGGTGACAGTGACTGCTGGGGTGGCAGGTTAGGAAAGGGGAGGAGAGGGAGGCTCCTCGTTCCAGTGCAGCTGCACACGCCAGTGCTGGAGACAGGAGGGAGGGAGGGAAAGCAGATCCCTGGCTCCTTCCCCGGAGCACATGCGAGACCTCATCCCCCTGCCAGCCAGCAGCTCTCCCTCACGCCCTTCCTGGGGCCCCCGGGCCCCTCCACCCCTGCCAAGTCCTGTGTTTCGGGTTTTACGGAAGGATAACAGAAGGAAAGACTCAGTTTAACCTGGCAACCTTTCCTTCTCAGGGGCACTAATGCAAATGCAAAATGGTTTCCTGGAGCGCTCTCACATTAGCTCACTGCACTGACAAACACAAACTATTTTTTAAGATTGTTTTCTTAACCAAGGTGAAATGAATATATGGTCATGTGCACATACAATAACTGTTTCATCTGCATTACCTTACCTTTTCCTCTAACTCTTTTATTTGTCTTTTTTGGCCTTCAATTCTTTCTTCTAGCTCTTTAATTCTCTGTCAGATTTCAAATAAAAAAATATTTATTAACCAACCAAATACAGATGTACCCAGAAGACGCATTATTTCTGGAGATATAAATTGTATGTGCTGTGCTTCTAAAAAAACTAAATGGCGTTTTAAGCTGTAGACGAGTCCTTCGTGAATGTCACAGTGCGTGACAGATCAACGAAAATCAAAATGCTGTGTTTGCAGGGATCACCCAAGGCAAATCGAAATCTGGCCCCCGGACCAGCCAGTTCTGGTACAGCTCTGTGAGGAGAGGCTGGTGCTCGCAAACTCATTACGTTTCCATGGGAGGGACCGTCCCGCCCCGAATCCTGCCGTGGCCGTGCACCGGCACCTACCTGCTGTGCGTGCTGAATGAGCTCCATCCTTTCTCGCAGGATTTGGGCGTCCCTCTCCCGGAGCTCGCTCATCACCTGCCGCTTCCATTGCTCTACGGCGCTCTTCAGTTTCTCTTTCTCCTCTTCTGAAAGAAGTTCGGAAATTTTGGCTCCAGCTTCTTGCTGCAGGGCATCATAGAGCATGGCTTCTAATTCCAGAATTTGCTAATCAAAAACAATATAAGGCTGTCAGCTTGACCTTGTCTCTGGTTGCATGAGGATTTTGTGAGGAACTGAAAATCCTACCCTGGTAAGGCAACGGGAGAGACAGAGGGGTTGTGCACTGAGCATCCCACGTAAGACAGCGCAGAAAACTCGGTCCAGGGGGAAAATGCTTCAGGCTGCTTCTGCGCTGTGGGGCTGTGAGCAGCACTGCAGCTGGGACGGCCCCTGGGCCCAGCCTACTCTGCCTCCCAAAAATGTACGGGTCCCAACCTCTCCGTTCTTGGAGATGGGGAGATGGCCGTGGGGAGAAAAGGCAAAAAGAAAAAAAGAAAAGGAAAGGGAAAAGAGAAAAAGGAAAGAGGTTCATAAAAGACTTATTTGTGAATTACAGATATTTTTAAAACGTAATGTTCAGTCTTTCAGGCCACCCTTCCCAGCCATTCTGTTCGCAGCAGCAGAGGTCATACTTCTGCCAGAAATGAAGGACTCCCTGTTGTGTGCTCGCAGCATTTCCTACCAGCTAGCTTAAATGCTCCGTGTGAAGGTGTTCCCTGCACTTCCTCTGGCAGGCCTGTCAGCTCCAAGAGGCTTTATGCTCCAGAAAATGTATCTGGTAGCTGGGCTCTGTTCCTGCAGTCTTGGACTGCAGAGCCTTTACTTCACTGCATCAGAAAATGTCTCCTGCACAAAGACAGATTTACTGAGATACAGAAGCGTGTAGGAAACGGACTGGCAAAGACTCCCCAGGGTCGCCAAGCCTGGTACCCTCCTAGAGCAGGTGACCTCACCAGACAATGTCTTCTGCTTCAAAGTCCAAGATGAATGCTATTCCTTCACGCAAGCCAAAACCAAGGCAAAATCTTTTTCAGCAAGTTTGATACAGAGCAAGAGACAAAGCAGCAAATGATGGCACCTTTGCACACCCTCTCCAAAGCTGGTGGTGCCTCGCAGAGCTCTGTGGCTTCAGGAGAAGAGGAACGCAGCAACAGTGCAGCCTGAACCTCTAAACAGGCTGTTTGAAAATGCCATGGATGTCTGTTGTGATAATTCAGCTCCGTTCAAAATGGACCAGTTGTTCCAGCTGAGGCCGCTGGTGCCGTTTTCTCACTGTGTCTCAGCAGAGTCGGGACAGAACAGAAGCATTTACAAAGACAACATCACTGCAGGAGTCACGGATACGGATGATACCTGAAAGATGGCAACCATGGTATCTCTGTGGGGAAGGTCAGATCAGATCTCAGAAGAAGATTCTGCTTTCACTTTTAAAAATAACGCCAACATCCTTGCTAGCTGTAACTGTCTCAACAAAACGCTGTTATTTGAGACACGCATTTCTGCTGGGCCCCAGACCGTTCCACAGCCGTTACCCCTCTCTGGTTACACTGACTCGTGAAGGAAGACGAGCGGGGGGAAATTCACCGTCTCCAGAGCAGCAGCAGTGGCAGGAGTCTCTGTGTGAGCCAAGTGCTTCTTGGAGCAAAATCCCCCGCCAGCAACCAAACGGAGTGAAAACCGTGCAAAAAGCTTAGCAGCTACAGCTGGTAATCTTGTTGGCTGCAGCTAGCGGGGGAAGATTAGCGGCTCCTCATCTCAAGGGGCACAAAGGAAACATGGAAGTGAGACAAATTATAGAAATAAAAAGAGCTTTTGCCACTCAGATTTTGGGGCAGAACAAAGCTTGCTTGCTGCTTTCAGGCTGCATTTGTGCCCCGGAGTAAAGCCCGTCGCTCTGCCTGGGGACACTCGCGTGACGCATTCAAAGGAAAATACAAATAACCCTCAGCTACTTCTGCATGGGCTGCAACATGTTCATTACACTCGTTCCTTCTCCATGGGCAGCAGAGCCAAGCAGCAGGTAGTAGTTGTTGTCAGGACCTTTCAGATCCTTCGTTGCTGGGAATTTGGGATCCCGGAACTGGAGATCCATCTCATGGATGGAGAGCGAGTGGCTGGCCATAGCCGCAGGGGTGCCACGTAATGCCCTAATCGACAGCCACAGCTCCGTGTCTGAGCTCTCCTGCAGACTCCATAATGTTTCCAGGAGTTTCAAGTGAAGGCATATGATTTTTTCCCACCCCGCTGCTGTTGCAAGTTTCCGCATACTCAGATTTATGGATCTGTTTCAGAACTCACCCAAGACCCAGAAGTTCACCTCTCTCAGGGCTTATCTTTGAAGATGAATCCCACAGGCTCAGCCTTTGGCTGCACCAAACTGCTTCTCAGAGCAGCTCCAGGCTGCAGGAGATAATCTGGCGCTAAGGCTGAGACTGCAGGTACGAGGGGCTTGTGTAATTTCCAGAGTTTCCACTCTGCATAGACCGTGGTTCCAGACAGCTCAGCATTTGGCAGAATCAGTCTTAAAAATCGTCCTTACAGGAACAGAAAGTGTGCTGAGTAAAAGCTCCCCCAAATGGTCTGAGATACAAATAGACAGTGGGTATGACAGAGAGGCATAAATACTCATTGCATCTCAGAAAGTGTAACTGTGCTCAAGATTTAAATGCAACTGAAAAATGAGATAAATTGATATGAAAATCTATGCATTTATGTCTTTCCTGAGCATATATTGAACTTTTCTCTAACTGAAGGAAACAAGACAGCTGATGACTGAAGAAATGGGTTAGGATTAGCTAATGAGGAACCCAATCTAAAAGCAGTTTCATTTCAAATTTACAGAATCACATAATGCCTCCAGCTTTTTCAGCTACAGAGGCTGCAATCTAAGATCTAAGGAAATGTCTAGGTCAAGATTTGTGTTGTGGAAGGAAAAGAGAAATTACTGAAAACATTATTTTCTTCTCAGTCATTTACCAAAACCTCTGCTAAATTGCCATTTGTGTTTTATTAAAACAGTATTTAGGTCCTAACCCTGCAAGGACCATGCAAACACAAGGAACTTGGTTCCTAGGGAACTCACTGTTAGCCCAGGGTATAGTTTGTTTAAAATTCAGCCTGTTCAGTTCTCGGGTCACTCCATGAACAGAGTTTTTCTACAGAGAACAGACTACACATATTGCACAAGGTAAGTTAATCAAGATTGCGTCCTTCAGTCAAGTCTGGTTTCCCTCACCTTGTGAGCCTGGTCCAAGGACTGTTTCCTGAAGTCGAGCTCATCGTCCAGGTAGCCCTTCTGCTTGCTGAACAGCTCCTGGGGCCAGAAGCAAGGGGCAGTCAGTGCAACGGCCGCGGCCCTACCCCGCCTGCCCCTCCTGCTTCCTCTCCGCTGGCTCGCTCCCCTCGTCTCTCCCTACCTTTTCGTTCTCCAGATCCAGCATCTTCTGCTGCAGCGCAGCCTCCGTCACTTCTATCTGCTGTAGCCACTGTGCACGAAAACAGAGATCAGGTGCTTAAGCCTAAAGAGCAGAGGCAGCACGCCTGCGTATTCAGCTTTCACTGTGACTCCGGGGTGAGTCAGCACACACTGCAAGTACTTATTTAATTCACTAAATAGAAGAGGAAAACCCAACTGTACTATTACATATTTTCTTTTATATAAATCAGTGACGGAAAAAAGCATTTAAAAGCCTAGACATTTACCTTCTAGCATCATTTTGCAAATTAAGTAACATTTTAAAATACGCAATGTCTGTCTGTATTGCCTGCATGTTAGTGTCTGTTTTGGCGAAAACTAGTGCAAGAGTAATTCCACATAAAAACTCAGGGCATTTTGTGATGAAACTATCATTTACATCACCAGTGTCTTCAAGTGAGCTATTCTGGGGGGGTCAGATGCTTTCATGACACACATTTACTGATGAGTGATGCAGTTTTTATTACCTTTTCAGCCAACGTGAGAACTGTCCTTGCTTGTATAACAACTACTTGCTCTTCATTGGTCAGATTCTGCACCAAAAGCAGAATACAATTACAACAAATCCCAGTGTCTTGCTATTAATCCACTATTTGGGCCACTGCTGTATTAAATAAATATGAAATTAAATAATAAACTAAGGCAAAGAAAATTAGTATTGTAATGTAACGTCGTTGTAAAAACAATAGTAACTATTCATGCTGAATTGTTATCATACATACAGTTAATTCTTCTAAAATACTCACATTTAACCAAAAAAAAAAAGGTGTTGACACTGGATCTATTTTTCCCCAAAAGGGAATAAACACACAGTTACACAAGACACGATCAAGCTTAGCATGATGTGCCATTAAGAAAAGAGATGTAATCTTAAGTCCTCTGTATTTCATTATATGCACGCTAGGTTAACACACTCTCCTTATTTTGCAGGGCCAAGTCCTGATTTTGGAAAACATTTGTTAAGATGTTAGCTATGCAATCCATGTTTTGTTGTTTTTTTTTTTTAAAGAATGTATTGAAGCTATGTTCTGCATTGCATCCCAAAACTCTGACCACACCTACAGTACGAGAAGTGAATCCTTCCAGCTTGGGCTCCGTATTTTTTCAGCTCCAGAGCGTCATTAGATATCATTCCCACACAGTGATTAGGAAGTCGATGAGGGTGACTATGGTGATCTCAATTTAAGACACGAGGCTGGGGACAATGAAAGTGCTACCTGGCAGAGATGGGAGCAGACCTTTCCTGAGGACCCCTGAGAATTGTCTCTTCCATAAATGTATGTTTTTTTTTTTAAACAAGTTACATTACCTTAGACATACAAACATCCACACAGAACATTAAAAGTGCTCTTCCCTGTTCTGTGAGTTACCCCCGACCTGGCTCCCCTGTCCGGGGGGCAGCGGAGGCATCTGTGATCCACAGCCCCTCTCTGTGCCTGTCCCCAGCGACCCCGCAGCACCCTCCGGCCGCTGCTTCTGCTCTGCTCCCAGAGCTGCTCTCGGAAGGGTTTGCCTTATCAAAGCAACGTTTAACTCACGCCAGTTCAGAGGGAAGCAGACAGAAGCTGCCAGGGGGGCTTTATTGAAACGCAAGTGAGAAAATGCACAGAAAAGGACAGAATCACTTGCACACAGGCAGTGCACATTGCTAGACAACATTACTACAGGGATTAATAGATTAATGGGTATTATCTTTCTAGACACCAGCAGGGTCAGTCTTAGCTTACTGGTGATTAAACTTGTGCGTATCCTTTTTTTATTCTTTGCACACAAAAGATTTTAGGACCCTTCATATTCCTGCCAGTGTGAATATCATTAACTGCAACAGTGGTGAAGATTATTAATTGCTTCAGTGTGTTTCAGTTCCTCCACTGCCTCCTGGCTTGACTTTGTGGGGCAGGCCGTGGAGACATCAGAGACTGGGGACAGTGGAGACGTGATGGCCCAGCTGGTCTAGCTGGGGAGGTGGATGCGGGTTCCCTTCCAGGCTGCCCCTTAGCCCTGGGGATGGCGGTTTTGCTGGTATTCAAGCTGCAGAGGCATGGGGGACAGCTGGGCCAGCTCAGGTGAGGAGCCGTGAGAACAGTGGGGAGCTTTCTCTGGGCCCGATGTCGGTGGTGGGGTCTCCCAGGGCCAAAGGCTCTGCGAGACCCCGGGCTAGAGAGGGGCTCTGCTCTTCTCTGCCCCTCACAGCCACAGAGGCTCTGGGGCTCTGCTGACAGCTACGGGACAGGAAAACAATATAGAAGGGCATATAACTCCTCTATACACATCACTATATGTGTACTTATCCGCTTCCATTTGCTAAAGGAGAAACACTTTCAAAGTTCTTCTTATTCACTTCTTCTTTTCATGCTGCTGTTGTAACTTTCTGTTTAATATCATGGTTACTACCAAAGGTTTATGGGTTATTAGACAAAATAAAAACAGACAGCTGCTAAAATGCGAAAGCAAAGCAAATGCAGAGTAAGCAAATAAAGAAACCATGTGTGAACAGTGGCCAGAAAAAACAAACATCAAAGTTTCAAATGATTTTCCAAACCATTGGAAAATTAAAGGCAATATTGTGACATCAAGATCCTGCATGGCACTCATCAGAATGCTATTAACGAAACCTTAAAAAGCCAGAAAACGCTTAGCTCGTAGCCCAGTACTTTGGCCACAGGGAGGACAGGCTGTGCAGCAGCAAACCAAGAAGGCTTTGCTAACTTAACATGAGGACAAACATTTCCCAAAGCATGCACAATTTATTAAAGGAACATACACTTACGGCGTTATCCCCTAAAATGTCCAGTTTTTTCATCAGCTCTGCTACTACTATGTCCTAACAAGAGAGAAATGGAAAACCAGGAGTCAGAACGGAGCGTCTGATTTTATTTAAGGAAAGGAAAATACGAAACCAGAATCCCTTACTGTTACACCTTCTGCCTCGCAGTAGACTTGGAGAGGGCTTTTCCCCTCTGTAAAAGGACCGTGGTGGAAGGTGATGGCCGGCGACCGTCTTTCTCTCTCCTGAAACGACATTAATTGCGTGGTTACCCGCTATGGCGTGTCACAAATGACAGCTTCACCGAGAACTTGATAAATACGGTTTGAAGGAGGCCGACTCTAACTGAACACACTGCAAAGCAACGCTGTCGTGGAGTGGCTTTATTTTGGGTGCTGCGAGCACAGAACCCCCTCCTCCTGCATCCTGTGGCTCTTTACACCAGCAGCAGGACCCAGAGCCGTTTCTCTGGCCAGAGCACATGCTTTGGCGATGGCACCTCGGGCTGGCGGGGAAGGCCTCCACCTCACTGCGAAGCAGGGCGGACGCACATATTAAGAGCGCTAATATTTTCCCACCATGCTTCTTCACTGGGCACCAGTCATGACCACTTGCCTATTACTTTGACTACATAATATATTTGAACAAAACTATACACTTATACCTAGTATAATATAGACAGCATTTACATTTTTCTTGTAAGTGGTTGCTTTGTTAACCTCTCTTTGGAGAACTTCAAAAACGGTTTCCAAGAGCTTATAGATTCTGTTTATACAGGTTAATGATGTAGAAAACAGAAGGCTCAGTGGAGTTACTACAGTGGTCTAGGCCCCACGCTTCCTTCTCTGCAGGATTAGCATGAGGTGAGACACAGCAATGATTTTTGGCAATGAAAATAAAGGTCCTTTTTCTTTCCTGTATATGATCCACTCTGGTTTTATCTCTTTGCATTTTCAGAACATATGGAGTATAGCAAAATTTATATATGCATCACTAGCCAATCTTCTGGGTCTCAAAATTACTTAAGCAGCAAGACTGCCAGAAAAACCCATCAAGAACATCGGTATTGATCCCTGGGTGTTTGGGTTCTTTCCTGTTCTGTTAGCACTTTGTGCCAAACCCTCTGGTCTCGTTCAGCGCAGTGTGGCTCTGCACGGTAAATGTGGGCAAGCCCCCATCGCCGCAGTGCTCCCGGCCACGGCTCGCACAGCCCAGGGGGCAGGACCGTGGCTGCAACACGTGCTCACTTCGAGCTCCAGGATCCTGAACTCCAGGAGCTCGTTTTGATCCTTCACGTCCTGGACATCATGTTTCAAGCGAGCTTCCTCGGCTTCCATTTGTTTTATCTGCAAAATCAAGCAACACGCGTTAGCACCGTTTCAGTGTCGCTCGAGATCCGCCGCACGCCGACCGTGCCGGGCAAACGCCGGGGTCAGCGCGAGCACTGAGGGTCTGAGCCCACCCCCTGGGGTCAGCACCAGCAGAGACACGTGGCACCCGTGACCAGGGAACATGGAGCTTTTCCCTGGAGCCACTGTCCTCACGCTACCTCGGACCAGAACATTGTACGGTGCAGGAGGGAAAGCCAGCAAACCACTCTTTCTGGCAGGTTTATAAGCATCTTGTTATCACACATGAATAATTTCCAGTAGAGCTGTGTGATACAGATTAAAATACTGCACCTTCTTCATTTCCTTAAGTTACATATATTATCTGAATAATACAAATAGAAACATCGAACACCTTTTCTACCAGTTCTTGATTTCTTCTGTACAACGCTTGCTTCTCCTCAATCCACTTCATGTCCTTGCAAAAGAAATGACCAATATTGTAGGTGAAGCTGGCTATGTTTAGCACAAACACAGCAGCAAACATTTCATTAAATCACACATCTAGAGAAGAGGGACAGAATAATATTGCATATGAAATTGTAATTCCATCATTTCCTATGATATGAAATCTCACCCTTTCTGTCTTATTTTAACAGTCTGTAGTATACAAATGGAACAGAAACACTCCGGTGATTTAAAAACCCCTTTCAGATAAAAGATCAGTTTGCTTTAAAAGGGCTATTTCTAGCTATGTAGTTAGTCTTAAATTTCAATTACACCGAATACAAATTGCATATTTCTGAACACTAGGCAAAATAAACGTTATTTTGAAGCTAATTTCTTATTTTGATGGACACATAAAAGCCATGAAGTCCAGAACATTATTTTTCAGTAACGCTGACAATAATAAGAGGTTAAGCTGGAAAGGTAATGATCAAATGATTTAGTATTATTTTAAAGTTCTCAAACAACATTTTATGTTTCTGGGAGGGTTGGGTTTCTTTTGCCTGGAAAAGTAAGACACAAGTTAAACACAGCCTGGGAACATTTCTCGTATTTCCAGCTGGGGGCTGGATATTTGCAGCCTGCAGTATTTCACCCTCCAGGCTACCCCAAGGCTAGAGGTGCTCCTGCTTCTTTATCCCCTTTGGATGCCAGCGTGGGGGGTGGTTTTAAACTCTGTACACTTCCAGCTGAAGGTGCATTTTCCCTTTTACATTCTCCTGTGCTATGCTACTTTACCTGCATCTCTGGACTGTGTAACCTCCGTGCCAGGGCTGACCAGCTCACCCGAGCCCCGAGGGCGAGGGTGCTGCAGGGTGAAGTAGAGCTGCTTGGCTCGAGCTGCCGCCCCGCTGCCAGGACGCTCCCCCATGTCGGTGGAGCAGCCGTGGGCGCAGGGTCCTCCTGCACCCGAGGGACCGCACGACTGCACTGTGAGCGTTCAGAGCCACTCTGCTCTGCGGCCGGCAGCAGAAACCCCCAACACCCCAGCGCCTTTTCTGCTTGGAGAACATTACGAGGGAGAATTTTCTAACACCAGTTGGCAAGGATGTATGCGCATGGCAAACATTTGGACCTCAGCACTGCAGTCCACAGGGATCCAAGTGGCATGCAACAGCCAGGAGTACAATGTACTCTGTGCCAGGGGCTGAGTGTCACCCACCAAAAGCTGCAGTGGCACCCAAACCTGCCAAGACCTCTAGTGGGGCTGGCTTTGCAGAGTGGAATCTCAAGGTCAGACCGAGGTGACAGACTATGAGCCAGCCTTGAATGAGCCAGTCAGGCAAAGGCAGACGCCTTGCAGTGAATTCAGAAATTAAAAATTACCCAAGTGTAAGTCTTAACACATCAAAGCAAAAATAAGACATCTTAACAACGCCTAACGGCATGAAAAAGGCAGAGCTCAGTAGATGTTTGGTTGAATGTAATGTGCTTCATTTTTCTCATTTAGACTAAATTTCCTGGAGTGCAGTTTCATAGATTATTCAATTGTATTTCAAATTAATCCTTTTTGAAACAATGACTGAGGGGATTTGACAAGCTATCGCATGAACAGGCTGCATGGTGAACTACACAAACAGCTGAACTGGACACTTCAAACAGTCCTAATACACAAAATTACTCTGAATTTAAAGAAAACATTCACAGCAAAGTTTTTCACATGATGAGAACCCCTTTGTTTTTGCTAAAAATACACAGCCTGTGCCGTGCACTTCCTCCTTCCCTTGAAATGTTTAACCTCTAATTTAACACCTGCTTTTCGTCTTTTAAGAAAGTAAAATCTTGTGGAGCTAAAAGGAAAGCTGCTGGCAAGGAAAGCTTACTCTTACATTCACTAAATAAACATTTAATGAGAAAATAAATGTTCTTCCTTTATTTTACGTTCCCGATTTTCTCCTAGGTATCAAAAATACTGGTAGTCTGTGAGATTTTAAAGCAGACCAACTTCTTGCCAAACACAGTTGTTCCCTCTATTTACCATAATGCTTTCTCAGTATTTACGTACATCTTCAAATGGATAAGGGAACTGACCTGTTATTCACTGATTTAATTTTCTGGAGATGCATAATAAAACAACAGAGAGCAATTTTAAACTAGGGACAGTTAAGGGGTAGAGGAGGACTAGTGGGCACGGCTGTCCGCTCGGTGCCAGGCAGACCCTGTGCTTTGGGGCTTCCAGCAGTGGCAATGAGCGTGGGAATCCGTTTTCTCTCTGGCTGTAAAGAGAAATTCTCGGTGTCCTATGGAGATATTGCACTTGTTTGGACTTCACAGCTGTACACGTCCTTTACCAGCTGACTTTGGCTTTCCCTTCCTGTAACAGACCCTTTCACGCAGGCATCGTTCGCTGGAGCAAGCGAAGCATTAGGGCTGCCATCAGCAGCGACACACGGGCCTTTAACGGCTGTGGATTTCGGGAGTTAGTATGTGAGCACTGACGGGGGCTCAGGGCTTTGGGGACCCATGTTTGCGACACCACACATGTAAATGTGGAGAGTGAGGTTTTCAAAAGCCCTTGCATGCCTGACTCTACCTGAAACCAGCTAGATCACATGTATTAAGTGCTTTCTTTTCAATTAATTAATGCCTCTGTTCACACAGTACTCAGCGGGTTACACTGACATCTCCTAGAACAGGGGTGCAGTGGTGATGGGGGTGGTACAGGGTAGCTCACTACAGCACACACTGACATGGACAGTAATTGCTTCCCTAGTGCGTGTGTTTTGCAATCACTAATTGTACTTACTAATTGTAATTACTAATTGCAAAACAGCCGTTGAAAAGCAGCATTGGGATTATTCTATACAGCCATAAACGCTGCAGTGTCCCTAGCACCTGCAGTGTCAGACAGCAGCCTGACCAGGCACGGCTCCAGAGCCCCTCCGGCCCCCAGCACCCAGGCTGGTGTCCGGCCGCACGCGTTACCTGCCCCTGCTCAGCAAGGGCCTTCTCCAGGTCTTCTATCTGAGCCTGAGATCGGTGTATTTCTGCTTGGAGCTGCTCACGTGTCTGTAGGAAATGAGGGAAAAAGAAACAAATAATACATCAAACTTTCTCTAAAAGGCAGAAGCTAACACAGGTGCAGAAAATACTTAAAGCATCAAATACTTTTAACAATTTTTGAAGTTCTAGGCAGAATAAATTTGCAGCTAAGCAGGCAGCATTAGTCATTGATCATAAAAAGAAGTCTGTAAGAGAGGATAATAATTTTGAGACTTAGGTCGAGATTAACATAAGCAGCATCCTATCAGGTAGGCAGTAGGACAGCAAAATATAAATGGCTTCTTACAGCTGGTTATGACAGTCTGCGGTGAGCAGCCTTCCTTATTCTAGAACAAGGCGTTTAAAAAAAGCCAGTGTAATGCAAAGATCCATTTCTCCATGAAAACAAATGAAAATCATTATGCCACAATTCTGGGCACACCCGATTCCTTTACATTTTGTATGAGTTAAAAAGCTCAGAATGGACCCTGCATATGTAACGTTACAAACCAGCAAACTGTGTTGCTCCTTATGCATTTAGTACCCTATCTTGCAGTCTTACTGCACTGTGTGTAATTTTTTACTATACTTGTAGCTGCATGCTCATTTAAATATACACCACCTTCCTACACATGTTTTTTGGAGAATAAATATCATTATTGTTCGCTATTTTATTTATTAAATATTGTTTCATAGACCTTTTTCCTTCCTCAAACCATCTATCTGCTATTTATCTTGCTGTTTACAATGAAAATGATCTTGTTTGTTTGCATTACCTGCATTGTTTTCTCTGTCTCACCACAGAAAAAGTAAAACCAAGTCACTTTGCAAGTTGGGCATGTCCTGTTTCACTACGCTTTTCTTTACCTACGCAATCCCTAACACCTCAGAGCAGAGCGTGTGCTTCTGGGAACATTAGTTTTAATGCATTTTGGGCATTCAGAGAGAGTGAGCTGATCTGTGATTGCCAGACAGGGAGGTCGCTGGGAGACAAGGGCTGCTGCTAAACCTGGGTGGCAGAGGGGTACTCCCCAGGGGAGACAGCGGTGAAATGAGCAGCTAATTCTTTGAATCTTTCAGCGGAAGAAAACCAGACTAGTTATATAGCTAGGAAAGCCAAAATATTATTGTAAAGAATGAATTCAGCTAGAGGAACTCGGCCATTTGTTTCACATCTAACTGGAGCCAGAGCTGGGACAGTGGCAGCTCGGTGGCACGTGGTGCTGTGCCACGGCTGCCGGGGGCATCCCCTCCGAGGCACCAGGTTGGGTGACACGGCTATGTCCCAGCACTGCCATCCTCACCTTGGACTACTGTAAGTGCTCCTGATAACACGTTCACACAGTGAATATAGAGCCAAATTGAGACTTTGCAGTTACATTTCTCCTACGCGACTCCAAACTGTCAGCTCAGAACAGAATTTGTCCCTTTATTTACTGTATTCACCCTTGCATTCTGTGCATGGTAAGTCCTGCCAGCTCCTTGTAATATACCACATAGTCATAATAAACTTTGCATTTTACGCCAGATGTTTGAAGCTACACGGGCTGTGTGAGGCAGATAGGCAGGCAGAATAGCATAGGACACTTTGCAATTGAATTAAGAATCTCAGCTATAATCCTTCTAAACATTTTACGAGGAATCATGTAATCTCACAGGATCCAGAAGGAATTAAATACCAAGCATTATACGTGCAAGGCTATCTGTCCTAGGTTTTTATAGAAAGAGAGCTTAATTTTAAAGATTCCCCATAAAAATTCTCTCTGAATTTCTCTTAAACTGATCAGAGGCGAAAAGGCTGATCTTCAGGAACGGTGTCTCCTCCGGCAAGCCGGCACCACGGGGGAGGCAGGACGGGCTGGCTGGGGTTAGAGACATTGGAGTCCACTGTGGCAGCCGGCTCAGCCAAGTCCCCCACCAGCACTCCCAGTTGGCAGCGTGCTGGAGGGGCTAGCTGACCCCAGTTTAGCTTGAAAACAACCTCAGCAAGTAAATTGGAAACCCCCATACAATTACAGTCCTTTATTTTCATGTAATATAAGCCATTTAGACCTTAACTTCTCGTTCTGCATCCAATGTTCCTCCGACCTGTTCTTGCAATAGGGCGTATGCTCGTTGGAGAGCCTGGTACTCCATCGTCAGCTGCCGAAACCGCAGTTCTGTCTCTTCCTTGGCCATGCCCTGGAATTAAAAACAAATATGCATTGCACCAGTTGCTTTTTTCCCCTCCAGTGAAAGTTTAAAAAAAAAAAAAAGAGAGATGTGTGGATTATGATTGCTTTCTCCATAAAGTGCAAGAGTTATTACTTTCAATATGCAATTTGGGAAGCACCGTACCAAAGATCTTATTCATGTGCTCTCAGACTATTTCCTTTTTGTCCATAAACACCTCTTGCATTTACTTGATTCAACAAAATGTAATACAGAAAAAAAAGATGATTCCACCTGCCTTGGAAAGATAAAAACTTGTCATCCTTATAACACACTAATGACTGAATTGCCCTTTATTACTGTACCAGGCAAAGTCATCACAATCAGGTGAAAATATCACTTTCTTGAAAGAACAAAAGGTTTCCAATCTGGAGAATAAGCCAAGCCTGACAGTCTCACTCACTCACTCAACACTAATCTAGAGCTGATACTTGTAGAACCGGTGACATCAACATGAAAAGAGCCCTTCATCTTCTTTCCTCACAGTATCCACCACTGAATCCTTTTATGCCAGGTTGACTGGAATACTTCATTTGACATACAATGAAATTTTACTGCTGGTCACATGCATAAACTTCGCACTATCCGAACAGAGGAAAAAAATGTCAATACAGGAATGAAAAATGAATAGGCTTACACACATAAAAATACACGCAGGTTTCCTGCAGTGCAGCACACACCTGGTAACCACTCACATATCTTTTAAGGTAGAGACAGGATTTCCTCAGGTGCCCTTTTAACAGATCTAATTACAACCCATGAAACAGGTGAAATGGCCGATGAAAAAATGCAGCCATCACACCATAAAAAGGCTGCAGGTCATTATTACGAATTTTTTATTACAAGATTCTTGTTAAACCCAGAAACATGTAATGGTACAGTGATCTGACACACACTCGGGAATGCATTTGTAGGGAAGCCCTGCAAAACACCAGGAATAATCACTTTTGTTTGTATTACCAGCTACCTTTGTGTACTCTGCATTCAGAATCTCCAGAAAAGTCACGACCTCAATATACCGGTGAGGAGAAGGCCTTTCCTCTCGAGACTGGTGCTTTGTGGGACTGCTTGCTTCTCCTTCCAGAGGCACAAACCTTATCACTTAAGGCTGTGCTCTGTGTCTTGTCAAAATGACAAGTAGAAAGACCTGAACAAAACCACATGTGTACAAACCTGCAGTAAATCTCTGTGTGAACAGGTCTTCCTAGCACTGCCCGACTTCTCAGTCTTATTAGACCTCTAAGCTATAAACCCATCATAGAGCTAACATTCTTAGGAGACAGTATTTCCACTTTGGCTAGAAGTTGTGAAATTACAGACGACTTGAGATCCAGAAATATAAACCAACATGCACAGTATTAAATTCAACGCTGATTTTTAGTTTTCCGGTCAGAGGTGACAGATGAACGATATAACAGACCTAGAATTTCATTAAAAAATAAGCAGCAAGGTTTCAAAACAAAATAACACATATTTTTTGAGGAATACCTCTTCCAAGTCATCTTCAGGAGTGCAAGGGGTTTGATCTGTCCGGTCAGTTTGGTACGAGATGGAGGAACCATCAGACTCCAGGGAAGCTTCTTCATCGTAGCCAAAAAACGTCTCCACAACCGGCTTCTGACAGAGACAAGGGGTCAGGGAGGGCAGCCATGCCACGCAGCACCCGTGATGCCAACCGCACCAGCCCGGCGGCCTCGGGGGGACAGCAACGGCTTCGGATGCATGGCTAAACCCTGGGCCTTTGTAGGATTCGAACGTATACACCTTCGGAGGAACCTCAATGCCAGAATACTGGCTATTTTCACTCTGTGGTTTTTGAAAAACCCACCCAGCTCTTTACATGCATTCTGTAAGCCTCTTCACCCAACGGTAGTGCTCTAATGACAGCTAAAACTATTCAAATCACAAAATTGTTGCGTTTGTTATTAGGTATCATAGTGCCCAACCTCAAAGCCCCTGTTTTTTTAAATGTATTTTCCTCCTGATTTCTCCAGCTCAGGCAGATCACACTTTTTACTTTTCTGTGTGTTCACCTCAGCATGAGGAGTGAGCTGTGCATTGAAATGTCTTTGTTAACCCATCTTCGTCACCACAATGTCCCTCTGGTCAATACCACAACTGTCACATGAAAAGTCAGATTTTCAAGAAATATTCTACCGGAAAATATCAAGTTAATCACCACAGCAATATTTTTACAGTTTGAAGAAATCCATTTTTCCACTCAAATCTGCTTTCTGTTTAAAACAATGAGGGTAATGCTGGTAAAAAGAGATTTACTGTTAAATGCTTGAAAGCCAAAGACAACATTTCAAACACAGTTTTAAAGTTATTTTTAATTGTTGATTTACCAAAAACAATTCTAGACTTTGGCTCTTGGTTTTTTTTTATTTGCAGTGGATGACTTTTGAAGGAGACAAAACGTAACTCTCCTCCCAAGGCCTGGCTGCCATTTGCAGGATGACAGGAGTTAAGTTGTTCTCTCACATTGACCGCAATTTGTTATTTATAGATTCATTAGCTCCATCACCACCTTAATTCTTCATATGTAGAGCACAGCCTACTCCAGGTCCCTGACATATACTTTATGATGTTGTTGCAGTGTTAATATTTATATTAACATCCTGCCAAGTAATCATTAACTAACATTTTCATTTTCCCTGAGCTCTGACCGTTGCTCCTTGTAACCAGCAATTTTCGCATGTTTCCGAACTCCATAATGAATTATTTACAATCTGCGTATGTTTTCAGGCAGTGCCATTAAAAGATCATTTGGAGATGTGTTAATTCATAAAACCTGTCTCATCTTAAGACAATCACATACCACAGAAGTCCCAGAGGACACCGAAACTGCTGGGGGTGAATGCAGAGCATGTAAACGCTCATAATGTGCAATGCTAATGGTTCCCCCACCCCTACCAGATCTTGTCTGAATTATGCCGGTACTGTCTATGACTGTCTTTGAACCCAAATTTAAGACTGGGACTCATGTGCAGACCCTTGAGGAGAACGTTCCCCCGCACTGGCTGAGGCGCTCGGAGCACCCTGGGAAGCCAGCATGTCATAATACAAGCTTTTTCTTTTTACCTTAGGAATTCTTGTCATTTTTTTCCTTTGCTTCCTATACCTTAACAGCTTATCACGTTCCTGAAAGAATCAGATACACACGTTAGCTGTTTGCAGAGAGCTGGTCTCTGAATTCACTGTGTCAGTACCAGAGGTCATGGGGCAATCAAGAAATCATAACGTCAGTGGTGGCCACTGCCTCAGAATGAAACAGCCATGCTTTCATCAGGCAAATGTTAGCTTTACTCCAACGTCTTCCAAGTTTGCCATATACGAGTAGCAATTGCTCTTCATATTCACAAAAATCAAAACAGCAAAAGCAAGGTGATCACAGCCAACGCGACACGCCGACAGCTCAGAGCTTCAGAGCTGCCCCGCGAGCAGCGTGCGCGCTCCAGCCCTGCGTGCTGCGGCTCTTCCCTGGCAGAGGGGCTCTGTCCAGGGGCGAGAAGCGAAGGCCGACCGCGGCCCTTGGCTCTCGGTGCCACGGCTCTCAGTGCCCCCTGGAAGGTGCACACACCTAACAGCCCAGCTACGCAAAATTCAGACACTGCTTGAACTCAGCACTTTTGGTCTCAGCTGATTTCTCTAAGGATCTGCAGGTTCCCTGCACGCTTCTGAAAAAGAGTTTGAGCATTTATTGCTGCCAGCAAATTTTTCTGTTCAGTGGAAATTATGACACCCTTCATAGAGTCATCTCAATTTTCATAGTACTGAAAAAAAATTCTTTATTCTGGATTGCAAATACAGGCAAACTGCAGGATTGCAGAGAGAAAAGTTCTAAAGGGAAAACTCCTATATTCTTTCTTTTTAACCACTTGGTAAAAGGATGCAATGACATTGTGGGACATCGATCATGTGCCACTACCACCAGCTCAACAGCAAATCCTAGCATCAGCAGCAGTGACAGAAGAAAATCGAATACTTGTTTTGCTTGACAGCACCAGCTTTGCTGCACACTTGACAATGAAGAACAAAACAGCACACATTTTATCAATACATCTTACTGGCGTAAGTCAGGCAAGGGCAGTGACTGAGAACACGCCAGGACGGGTGAGACAAAGCTAGTGGTAATCAGACCCCCCAAAAAAATGCAATTCCAATGTGGCAGAGCTGTCGCAGGGATGGGGACACTGCTATCAGCCATCAAGACAGGATGACCACGCTGACTTTTGCCACGGAGGTCATCGTAGTGGTGAAAAAAAAGGTTTCCTCTCGCACCAGAGCTTTTTTCTCCACTATCACTATGTTTTTCTCTGGTGAATAACTTCTGCTGATACAGCCTTTAACAACATCTATGTTGAGAAAAACACTGTGTTAGCTTGCTGCCTGAATGGAGATGTAAGTGATAATAAATATTATTATACCCTGCAAGCTTTTCATGAACAGCAATTTAAAACATACAAAGATGAGGATGAAGTTAAAGTCATTCTTACCATGACACTCTTCACATAGCCAGCAGTTTCCAGTGTCTAATGAAAAAAAATGAAATAATGCCAGTAAGTGTACAGGCTTTAAAAAAGGAGGTATTTCCTTGAGGAATATTACGATTTCAGTATCTTCTCTTTCCAAAGACTGAGAACATGTTAACAAAGAAGCAAGAACTCAGACAACAACGTTGCAGAACACCCCCCTTGTACACAGCAATCTTTAGCCCTGATGCTGTCTCCAGCTAAAGAAACTCTGACATCTTCTCTCTTGGGTACGGGATTTGGCCATCAGCACATCTACTGGACGTGCCGCAATGGTTCTGCGTGCAAGCGCCTCGTAGATTGAAAGGATTTTTCCAGATACTATGCCACAGATAACTTATATTCAGTTCAATTACCTGCAATCATAGAAATGCCTTCTACTGACGGAAGCTATGCCCGTTAGCTCACAGAAAGCCAAGCACCCCTTGCTTAGGTTTCCTGTTCTGCTGCTGCAGCCTTAGTCGACCTCGCATGACAGCAGCAGTATTACATCTTACCTTGGAGAGTTCATCAATGATATTTTGCTGTTCAATAACTTGTAGTCTCAGGAAATCAACTTCTCTTTCTTCCTGGCTGTGGTCAAGGTCATTTAAAGAGCTCGGTCTCCTTATTGTTCCAGCCCTTTGCCTCTGAAAGAAACCACACAGCAGAAGATGGAATGATCAGCAGGCTTTGCCAAAGGACAGTACGCAACCCATCCCTTACAGCCAGCGATGCATCTAACCTAATGGCTGTTCTGGCAGCTATCCCGCTCCCCTTCTGCTGGGCCACACAGCCAGACTGCAAACGCACCGGGTGTCCCTGCTCCTCAGACTGCCCCGTGAAGCTCGTGGTGACCAGAGAGCACAGCAGGCACAGGGGGACCATTGCACCAAAGAGGGGGGCTTAGCAGCACCTGCTTTTCAGCTCTGACAAGAGCTCTGTGGTTTGCCCTGGGTGGAGAAGGAATTCAGAGAGCTGGGGCCAACGTCGCTTCTCTGCGCACTCCTCTCACTCATTTTGATCTGCAGCAGCCACAGGGGTGAGCCCAGCCCTCCTACAGTCAGGCAATGCCACAGCTGCTTGCTACCAGCTATTGCCCACTAACAACATTCAACAGTCACAAGTGCCGATTTCCTCAGGATCACTAGGTGATTCTGGTACAGAAGTTGAAGGTGAAGTGGGGTGATTTGTGCTCACCTCGAAGCTGAGCAGCCAGTGACTGAGCAGTTGCCTGATCAAAATGTGCAAGACTCATGCAATCTCTTTTCTTCAGAACTATTTATTTTAAAGCTAAAATAAGTCATTTTAGGTAAAACACAACACTTTCCAACCACAAACCAGTCAGTACTGCACCATACAACATATCAGCGAGCACTGGAGAGTTTCCTATCAAACTTGCAAGTTTGGGATGTGTCCGACTTCATCAGACCCGTGAGCACTAAATTATGCGTTCTCCCTGGACCATACAGAGACTTACCATTGCTATGTTTTCTTGCGTTACAAATTTTAATTTATTTTCCATTCGACGTAAGGCATGTGACAATTCTTCATTCTTCCTACTAAGGCGTTTGTTTTTGTCCAAAATGGGCTTATACTGACTTTCAGCTTCTCTAAGACGTTTTAACTGAAAGACAAAGAGAGAATTAACACCACCAGAGCTGCTATTTTTCATCAAACATATTAATCATTTTCTTTAACTATCGCACTAGCAGTATTTTCTCCTACTGCAAAGCAGAACTGAATCTTGGTATTTTCCATTGGGAAACAGATCGTTCCTCTTTAATGAGGTATTCAATCTGTGCAACAAGTGCACCATGTGGGGGATGTATTTATTTTTAAAAATAAATAAAAATAATTCCAGCAAATGCCATCTTAACAATTCATTTTTATATAAGCAAAGATGAGTGTGATGTGGCATACCACCAAACAGAGAGCGTAAGGAGGAGCCAGCTGCTCCTGCAATGATTTCGAAACGGCCCACGGGAAAACACGTCGCTGTTCTGGGGTGAGGCATGGCCGCCGCAGCGCGTTCACAAGCGGCCGTCGCCGCGCTTCGCTGCCACACTCACCAGCTCGTTTCTCTCCTCCGACAGCAGCGCGTTCCGGTCCTCCAGCTTCCTGATGATGGCACTCAGCTCAGCGATTTTAAGCTGGAAACGCCGGGCATCCTTTTCATCCAACTGCTGTTCCTAAAACAAAGATCAACTGCAAATAACTGTTCATAAGTGTACACGCAATATCAATATTTTTCATACTCAAACTTTTTCTTGTCCCAAATCCAAACATTTCAAAACACTATACTGCAGAGTATGAGCTATATAACCTAACTGACCACTGGCAGCTGCAGGATGAGACCAACGGAAAGTTAGGAGTGAAAACGTAACAAAGTATGCAAATGCAGAACTATGTATATGCAAATACAAAGTCACAAATGGTGAACTTGGAAACAGAAAAGAAAATATCAAAAATGAAGGCAATGTTTCCAATGTATGCCACTGTTGAACTGAGTGCTTCAGACACATCACCCACTCTGAGGACTTTGTTATAAGAAAATGATCTTAAAAATACTGAAGTACAAATGGGGAAAATCCATGCAATTATACCATTGCATAAGCTCTTCTTCTATAAAGCTGTGGCCCTTACTGGGTCCTAAAGCGTCACTCATAAAGCCAAAGGGGTAGCACTTTATCTGAGTGAAAATGCTTAAATCAAATTATAAATGAATACAAATACAGGCAGACGTGTCCTTGTTCAGAATCAGAGAGAAGTTACATGTATTTACGAATGTGCCAGACTTTTCCCCCTTCTCTAGGACTCGTTCTGCTGTTTGGCAGAAGCTGAGTACAAATCGAAACAAGGAAATTTGTGGCTGTAGTGCTGGTGGCACTTTTGGGAGGTCTAGGGTTCCTCATTCAACAGGTGCAGGAGAGGCTTGGGACAAAGAATAAAATAGATTGGTTGGCTCATGTACAAGTATTTATATTTCTACTGAGAAAATTAAGGCTGTTGCAAAAGAAATCTTGATGAGAATCAGCAATGAAGAAAATTTGCATACATCAGATACATGAGGTCAGTTAACTGAGGGTTTTCTAATATTAGTAAATTAAGGCAAAAGCAGAAACGTGCCATAGTTATACTAAAAAAGCCATTGTGAAAGAGTGACTAAAATTTAGCATTCTGAATATCACATTGTAGTAAAGAAATAGGACAGAATAGGTTAGCAGGCGTTTAATTCACTGCCCGGTCCACTGAGAGCACTTCGCAGCGCAGACGCCCAAGCTGGGAGCGGTGCTCCAGGAGGGCCGCGGGACCTCCCGCGCCTTCACGCACCGATTCGCTTCCCCCATGCCCTTTGTAAACTGGCCTCGTCCATCTGCTCGCAAAATACGTGGTTTGCAGTTCCAAAAGCTAGCACACATACATCACTTGCTTAGAAATGCATTTGCATCATTTGTTGGCAAAACTCTGTCAAACGGTCAAATCAAGGAGGGTGGCAGAAGTATGGTAGGTGAGGAAAAGGAAGAGGAAAAGAACAGAGAAATTTCACCCTGCTGACAAAACCAAACCAAACAAACCAGAAAACAAAACGACAAAAAGGCAAAAGCTCTCCCATAACAAGGTTTGATTGCAAATCTTCAAGGTTTGGCTAACGAACGAGAGCAAGCAATCGGTGCCTCAGGGTATGGGAGAGCTGTTGCTCGAGGGTGCGCTCATCAAGATTCTGTCACTTCGTGCCACTTTGCCACTCCGTCTGCTCGTTTGTGTAGGTGAAACCACGTGAAAGTGCTTACGGGGCTTCCCGAATGATCTGAAGCGTCTCCTGCACCACTTGGATAAGGAAGTTCCCGCTTGGGGCTGCTCAGATGCCGGTCAGACTCTTTGATCTGGGACAGTTGTTCATCTAAAGCCTCCTTTTGGAGCTGCAGTCTCTGAGCATGCCCGGCTTGAACCCCTAACTCTCTCTCCAGCACGTAGACTGCTCTGTCTTTAAATTTAATCTCCTCCATCTACAAGGAGAACAGAACACAATCACACAGCAGGCAGCGGCTTGACAACAACAGAGCATCTCAGACCCCAGGGGCGGCCAGAGCAGAGCTGCACAGGGCCGACCCCCTCAGCACGGAAGAGACAGCGGTGCTCTCCTGGCAGGGGAACAGCAACCAGTGTTTGACAGCGAACGTACGAACCGAACCGTTCACCATCTCGTGAATATCGCTCTGCTTTTGGAGGCCACCCAGAACAAAAACTCTCTTTTCAGCTGGAGTTTTTTCATTAAAATGATTGGGAAATCACCCACGTTCTTAGCACCATTTCAGAATATCTAAAGAAAATTACAGCCTAATATTCATATCACAATTTGGATCAGTTCATTCAAACATTTTAATGATTTTGCAGCATTCTGCTCGGACATCATATTTTGAAAATTTGGATTCATAATTCTAAAAGAAAAATATTAAAACCTGAATATCCTTTTAATTTTCAAAATATAGGAGGAATGTGAATTTTTAAAATTCTTTTTCCACAAGTCTCCCATGTGAGCAATGTGTTTAATTATCCCTTTCCCATGAAGGCTTTTGGTTATCCATAACAAACTTTCAGCAAAATCATTAAGTGCTTAAATGACAAATGTCCAGCTGTCTCTAATTATTTCCTTCCCCATGCGCCTGCACTGTCTCCGCTGAGTTCAGAGAGCCGTGCTCATCGCCGTTGGATGGGGCACGTTGAATTTGCAGGTGCTCCAGGAATATTTTCTGAGGGGCAGCATACTCGGATGTTTTTCTGGGTGCTGCTGTGGAATTCAAGCCTCCCGCCCAGTGGAGCAGAGCCCAGTGTGCCCGTGCAGAGCACTGCGCTCGGGGCTGTGTGGGGGGCA